TTTGTCCCAGACACCAAGACATATGGCAAATGAGAGAGTTAGTTTAAACTGAAACCAGACTTACAGGCCACTTACGTGTGACTTCTCACACCTTACATAGTATCTCTGCTGGGGTCCCAGCTTCAAAGAGGAATTTAGGTTGTAAGCTCTGACCTCCCATGTATACACGAACATAACTCTTGTTTTACCGAACCGAGCTGAGCGCTTTTTGGATATGTTGTGCGCTCAGATCGGGGCTATACAGGAATATAATTTTTGTGGGGTTCCGATGCTGTTGTCATGTATTTTTGTGATATGAAAAATTGTATGTAAGTCTTCCTATTTGAGAGATAATTGGATTAGCTTAATTGGAGCTCCTCAGGACTAGTGGAGGATTGAAGGAATAACAGTAATAGACTCACGAACCTGTGACACACCCCTATCCTACTTTAAAGCCTCCTCCAACCTTCTAGCCATCCTCTCCTCCACCATGCCTCTAAAGATTGTACCCAAGTGCAAAATCGTACTAGTGCTCTAGAAACCCAAAACACAATGTCTATTGTTGATATTTTGGCGTAATGATCAATTATATAGTTAGAGCTGATGAGGTAGTCACAGTAAGTGTTAGTAGGCTATATTAAGGACAAGTAGCCAAAGATGCCTCTGAAGAAGTCGTGGTGATCTCAGAAACGAAGATAAGTTTGTGCATTTTATTTCCGTGGCACGCAAGGAAGCTATCATTGCTGAAACATTCGTGTTTCTAGTGGTTAGAACCCTCTAGTGAATGAGATGGAGAAGAAGCTGATTCAAATCCAATCTCCCTTGAACTGCACCGGAGGAGAGTATTATTTAACCAAGTGTTTCTAACAATGTGTGGAATAAAGTGTAATCTTGGAGAAAACATTACGATCTTTTGATCTCTATTATAGATTATGACACTGTAACACATTGATACAAAGTCTTGGAAACTTTTATACCCTACTAACTACTACTACTTAACAATTATTATTTTTGCTGACACTACTTTGACATTGGTTTATTCTGTGTTTAGTTTTTTATATATAAATTCTTTATTTTAGAGATCTTGTTTTAAGCGGGATGGGTACAGAAAAAAAACTGGGAGGAAAAAGTTTGGAATACACACATGAATTAACATACATATTATTGTGGCAATTATACAGATTAAACATGAATACATTGGTTTAATCAGTGGTTTCCGCATATTGTAACCTATGAACATGTTGGGTACAGTTGTTTTATTTGGGATGTTGGTTTCCTTTTGTATGGACTATAATAGATGTGGAATATATATATATATAATATATTGTCTCTATAATGTCTATAATAGATACAAGAATTAGGGATAATGGGGAGGTTTATACTGTTTTTATTTGACTTTTAAAATGTATTTTATTAATTGTTCCATATAGAATATGGGTTTATATTCAATTTCAAAAGTATCATAACGTTCTGACCATATGAATGTGTGAAAAAATAATGAAAAAAATGTAATGGTGAAGAATGAATTCGTAGTGATAATAATGGTAACAATAATTCTTAATAAACTATTTCTGAAAAATGCATATTAATAAACATTTTGAGATCAATGTTATGTTGTTGGAAAATAGAAATTTATAACCATTAAGTGGTGATATTGTTAATCCTCTTAAGTGATTCGTTTTCTGTAGTTATGTTCAGAATTTGCCATAAAAACTTTGATGAGACTATATATTTATTTTTTGGGGAGTTTTTAATAAAAATGATGACCAAGAGAGAGAAAAATGATTTGGGAAATTGTATTTTCCCACCACATTTGCAAACTTGCACCTAAATTAACATATGTATAAAACAAGCACAGGAGACTTTTGAAGCTATTTATTAATCTCTCTCACCATGAGTGTGTAAGAAAAGCAGTCTTACTTGTTTTTCTGTCTCCTTGACTCTATAAGTTAAGGTTTTAAAGGATTTCAGATTTCAATAGAAATTGACACGTTTATAAATTAACCTGGTTACACCCCCTTTGCTTTCATTTACACAACAGGTAATGTTACTTCCTGGTTTGTTTAGTTCAGTGGAACTAAACCCAAGAGGCAGCAATTGCTCAGAGCCTTGCAAAGACTTTTCATTGAGCAGAATTGGGAAGTAGGCATGTGCATGGGAAAAATTTTCGGTTCGGCATTCCGAAATTCTGGATTTCGGCACTTCGCAACTTCGGCACGTCGACACTTCAGACTTTCGGAACTTCTCTTGCAGCCGCTTGGTAAATAACTCCCTAATTCCTAATTCCCTAATTAATTAGGGAGTTATCTACCAAAAGGCTGAAAGACCTAAATTGGTATTTTGGACAAATTTACTAATACTAAGTAAAGATTAGGGGCATATCTATTAAACAGTGAGCAGCCTATGGCCTAATGTCCTCCCCCCAGCCCCCACCCCTGAGCGGTGGGTGGGGGCCCTAAATTAGAATGAGGGGGAGAACCTAATAACCTCCCCCCTGGCCCCCACCCCTGAGCGGTGGGTGGGGGCCCTAAATACTAATTGGGGGATCCTAATGTCCTCCTCCTGGCCCCCACCCCTGAGCGGTGGGTGGGGGCCCTAAATTAGAATGAGGGGGAGAACCTAATGTCCTCCCCCTGTCCCCCACCCCTGAGCGGTGGATGGGGGCCCCAAATACTAATTGGGGGGGCTAATGTCCCCCCCCGGGTCCCCACCCCTGAGCGGTGGGTGGGATCCCTAAATACTAATTAGGGGGTGACCTAATGTCCTTCCCCCTGGCCCCCACCCCTGAGCGGACCTCAGGACATTAGGTCCTCCCCCCTCATTCTAATTTAGGGCCCCCACCCACCGCTCAGGGGTGGGGGCCAGGGGGGAGGACATTAGGTCCCCCTTTAGTATTTAGGGCCCCCACCCACTGCTAAGGTGTGGGGGCCAGAGGGGAGGACATTAAGTCCCTCCCCCTTATTAGTATTTAGGTCCCCACTCACCGCTCAGGGGTGGGGGCCAGGTGGGAGGACATTAGGTCCCCCCATTAGTATTAAGGGCCCCACCCACCGCTCAAGGGTGGGGGCCAGGAGGGAGGACATTAGGTCCCACTTCCTTATTTTACTTTAGGGCCCCCACCTGCCGTTCAGGGGTGGGGGCCGGGGGGGCAATCGGTCCCCCTTCAGGTTAGGAGGGGGAGGGGGGATTTGTTTTTTTGTTTTTTAACAGTGAGCTACCACAGGCTGCTCACTGTTTAATAGACACGCCCCTACTCGCGGTATAGCGAGTAGGGGCATAATTTACTAATACTAAGTAATCTTTACTTAGTATTAGTAAATTTGACTGAAAGATCAATTTAGGTCTTTCAGCCTTTTAGTAGATAGCTCCCTAATAACGTGGGAATTAGGGAGTTATCTACTTATTTATCCCTGTCATTACATTGACTGGCCAAGTAACTTACATTTTATGTAACTTGATTGTTGCAAACACTTACAGCTGAATCCTGGCAATGTTTGTTTACTTTTTATTTAAAATAGTATACAGTGTAACATTCTTCTTCTTCCACTAGATAAGTATATTAGTACTAAGGCAATACTGTGCTTCGGAACTTCGGCACTTTGGAACTTCGGCACTTCGTAATTTCGGATCTTCGGGACCTCAGTAATTCGGCACTTCGGCTATTCGGACATTTGTAGGTACCCAAATGTCCGAATTGCCCGAAACGAATTGCACATGTCTATTGGGAAGTCTGTGCTTGGACATCCACAGAAAGTCTGGGTGTGGTTAGAAGAGGAGGGCTTGCAAAGACAGCAGACAAGAGAACAGCAGGTTTTGCAAGCTGTTTTTGAATATACCCCCAATGAAAAAAACACATAATTAAATACATTCAAATCTTCATTTGGAATATATATATAAATAGTGATTTTTAATGAATTAATAATGTAACTAATTGCCAGAATTAGGCATGACATTCTAGGGTATTTAAAAATGTAACTTAGGTTGTAATCAGTGTTTCATGTTGTTTCTTGGTTTTATTTATTTATTTGTAGGATGAGGTATGATTTGTTGATGTCATTCACTAAATAGCTACTCCAACACTTCTATTAAATTAACATTTTGTGCACTTGTTGATTGCCCCTCTCTCTCCCCTCCCCACCCCCAATAAAACCTTTGGAAATAGATGACAATTTACCTTAAATCCAGTTTCATGTCTCCTTTGACTAAAGTGCAAGTGTTTCTGAATGTGCAGCTTTTCAATCTAAAACACTGAACATACAGATTCCTTCGTCCATGACCACTTCTAAAAGCAAAGCGGTCATGACTGTTGAAGTTACCCTTTAAGCTTGAAATTGTGGCGATCGAAAATAAAATTCCTAACTGTTACAGCACAGTAAACAAACTGGAAAAATTCACCACCTCCGCTTTAATCCAGATGGATTATGTCGGTTTAAAAAAGTTTAGCGAATAATTTCTGTTAATACTGCCTGACCTGTTGTGTTTTTTTTTTTTAGTTTGTTTTTGTTTCTTCTTAATCCTTATTTCCTGATAAGATATATTCAACCACTATTTGCTTTGACTAAATCTTAATCTGTGTTTTAATCTCTACTTACCTCCGTTAGTTACAGGTACTCCTACAGGCTGCTTACATAGTTCTTTAGATAAAGAGGCTGGACTTCATCTGGTAAGCACATGGTACACATGGGAAGGTGGCCCACAATAAAAATTATTATTAAAAAAAAAATTCCTGTCTGTCCTGTTGAAGATAGAAAAAATACTGTTTCCAGTCCTGCTGGAGGTAGAGCTACCCATAAATGATGCTGCCGTGATTAGCCAGGAATATTTATTTGCCAGTGGAAAATTAAACTGTCGAAAAACACTAATATTCCAAGCACCATAACCACTACAGCCCTTTGTGGCATTCAATACTAAAATGAGAAACCATTTTAGTGTGGTTTGACAATTTATCAGGGGCCATCAAATGGAAGAAAATAAATATCCAGGCACACCTGAGGTTTCTTCTAAAAGGCAGTCTTTATATTTGAAACAAGAAAGTGGAGACAATGTTTCGGCTCCTCTGTAAGCTTTTATCAAGACTTTACAAAGGCTCAGAGAAGAGCCGAAATGTTGTCTCTACTTTCTGGTTTCAAATATAAAGACTGTCTTTTAGAAGAAACCTCCGGTGTGCCTGGATATTTCTTTTCTTCCATTTGATGTCTTCAGGGATTGGCCCTCCCTTTCTGGAGCACCGTGCAGGAAGTGTTCCCCCTTTTTTACTGTGTGCATTACACGCTTTTTTTTTTTTTTGCAAACAACTTATCTGGGGCCTGCCTGGAGCCTGCGCCACATCTGCTGCATCCTGTCTTGTCTAGGAGGAGACACCGGATGTTACTGATTGGCGTAAAGTAGGGACACAATCATTGCTTGAGACTGGATGCAGTAGATGCGGCTTTGGCGGGACCCAGGTAAGTTAATCAACTGTGCTGAAACAGTCTGGCATCTTACTGTAGGAAAGAGCCAGAACACCATAACCACAAGGGCACACTGGAGTGGTTATGGTGCTTTGAGTGTTCTTCTAACTGCAAACAAGATACAAATAAAAGTCTTGCTGGGCATAGCTTTTAACTGGCTTTACTCAAGGTGAAGCTAAGACAAAAATTAATTCAGTGACATTCAGAATCTTTATAAAGAATTTAGAAAATTTTGTTAATAAGATCACAGAATGATATAAATAATACTTGGCTTGCAGAGAGGTTTCTCAAAACCTGCTCTATCGGTTTTTCCTGTCTGCCAAACTAGGTACTAGGTTTTATTATATCCTTGACTTCAATGTTTTCAGTTTGTTGACTGTATAAAAAGCAATAATACATAACTATATTGCAATCACATTTTGCCATTTTTAATAAAATACTGTGACAACCTTATTTGACACATCAGTAGCCAGCAGATCTGTAATAAAACAGTGGAACAGAATAACTTCAGAAAGGGTCATCCTTCTGCCCAATTCTCTCAGTTCTTCCAGTGGATAATAAAATGTATATTTTGTTCATACTTTTACTTTTGGTGATAGCCTAAGTAGGCAAGTGTTTTTCATGGTTTTATCGAGACCTACTAAAATATTCCCTTACATGTATGTCTTTTGTATATCTATGATGTGTAGTTTGAAATTTTCTCATGAGGAGACTGCATGAAATGTGTAATTCGCAACTTGAACCATATGTATTGTCCATGGCATTGACCTAGGTTGCTAGACCTTTAAATGTCAATGCATGCCTTAGTACATGTACATTGTAAATCAACTTTGTCTCTCAACTAGAGTTTATCCTAATTGGTAACCCAAAAAATAAAGTGAAAGAGCACACAATGTACATAAATATAATAAAATACAAAAAAATAAATATGAACACTAAATTTGATCATGGTTTGTGACTAAGTGGCTACTAAAAAAGACTGGATATACCCTATTTTGATTACCCTGGATTGTCTACTTATGCAAATAATATGCTATGAAGGGGATAATTCTCATTCCTGGGTTGCCATACGACCATGAATGCAACATGGGCCCAGCAAACCAGTTTGGCAAATTTCAATGTGTAAAAACTGAAAAGGGGAAAGCCCTATATTTGATCTTGTAACTTTCCAAAACCCCATAAAATTATGGGGGTTACTGTTCTGAACACCAGTATGTGAATTTTATTGCAGTAAAAGCTAACAGTAGTATGACGTTCACAGTTAAAATGCAATGCAGATTTGGAAAATCCAATTTTTAAATTTCTCGAATGTTTAAGAATTTTTTTTCATATTATTAGTTATTTTTCATATATGAATATTTCATGTGAAATGAAAGCCCCATTTTTCCAGGACTAAATTATATATAAGTGTGAATGCATTATATATATATATATATATACTTATAGCTCAAATTTGCATTTGTTTTGATCAGAACTTGGACAATTGCTTCCATCCTTGCTGGTTAATGTTGTGGCTGATCAGTGTATGTTTTCATATTGTTGTTCTTATTGTGTTTACTATAATTCAACGCACAGTTTCATATAATTATATTTCTAGTAGCTTTTGAAATTTGCACCAGTACCTTACATTTCAATAAGCCCTTTTTTAATTCGTTATAGAATTTTATTTTAGGTAATAGGAGGAGGGAGTACAGAAAGAAAAAGGGAAGAAGGGGGGTTAGAGGATCCAAACAATTCAGTTTTTACATCTGTGCATCAGATACATATACAATGTCAGCATGGAGTTAGTTCGATTCATAGCGATTGTGGCCTTGTTTGGACCCATTGTGTCATTACGTCAGTTGGGTCTTTGGGGATGGGTGGTAGGTTTCAATAAGCCCTTTAAACATTGAAAACCAAAGAAATGATAGACAAGCAAGAATTGCACATCATAAAAATTTCATTTCTTGGTGAAATATAAAGGCATTTGATAAGTTCAAAGAAACAGCAAGCTTAATAGAATCTGACTCGTCAAATGTGTCCTGATAAACATTTAAAATAAAAAAGCTAAATGATTCATGCAAAATTGTCAACTAGTTATAATCTATAAACCCTCTGAAATGAATCTATAGGAAAAACACACAGGAGTGACCTGACAATGTTTCTATCCATTGAAAGAACAATTAAAAGCACCATAACCACTGAAGTTTCTGTATGGAGCTTCAGTTAGCTCTCCTGAGCTTAGCCTTGACCTGAGCATCAGCTTATTGCTCAGAGCCAATGAGTTAAGCCTGACGTAGTTCAGAGGGAAAGCTTTAGGCTCTCCAAGAGGCAATGAGCGGTGTGCGGTGACCCCAGGTAAGAATTCAAACACTTAGAAATTGGTTTGACTACTTGCATTGCATGCTGTAGTGGTTATATTGTTTACAGTGTTATACAGATTTACGACAATATTACGTGTGTATTTGGCAACAATGAAATGAGGCTTAATGGTGAGATTCCAGATGCAGAAAAAGATGCAAGAAAGTAGCCTCATATCATGTGGACAATGCTGATATAGAAATACATAACAGCATTCCAAAAGGAATTATTGGATATTCTAATTAATATCTTAATGGAAACACTTTCAACCACTGCAATAAATGTATGTTTAAACAGTACTGTGGAATGGAGACAAGATATATAGATTGATCATCATAGGGCCCCTCAGTTGGTTCTTTCCTTTATATCTTTGTTATGCATTTACATTTAATTGAGCTATCTATTGCTAATTATAGTTTTCTTTTGCTTTTTGTTTTGTGATTTTATTGTCATGGGATTTCTTTAGAGAACCAGGTGCTATACTTTTGTCCTATCTTTACACACTACATAAACCAGGCGCACCCTACCACTTGTGTCTGACATTTTGTATGCGCTTCTAATTGGTGCTTCTGGATCCTTCAACTCTTTAATATCCTATCCCTTATCTTTATTTGGTAACTGGCCTCTCTTGTTTCCTTATGTTGTAGTATCTGGCCTTTATTGATGATTGTGTGTCTTTTATACTGGTTAATAAGGTTTCTGAAAAATAAAAAAGAACAAATATCAACAGATGTATCCACCAAATTATTAGAACTGTCTGATAACCCAGGCAGAAAGTCCAGAGAATTTAATTTGCTAGCACTATATTTAACACTGTAACTTTCCAAGACACCATAAAACCTGTACATGGGGGGTATTGTTTTACTCGGGAGGCTTCGCTGTACACAAATATTAGTGTTTCAAAATAGTAAAATGTATAACAATGATGATATCATCAGTGAAAGTGATTTATTTTGCATTTTTCACACACAAACGGTACTTACACTGACGATATAATTCTAGTGATACGTTTTACAGTTTTGAAACACTAATATCTGTGTTCAGCGAAATCTCCTGAGTATAACAGTACCCCTCATGTACATGTTTTATGGTGTTTTCAAAAGTTACAGAGTCAAATATAAGGCTTGTGTTTCAGTTTTTTCACATTGAAATTCGCCAGATTGGTTACGTGGCCTTTGAGACCGCATGGTAGCCCAGGAATGATAATTTCCCCATGATGGCATACAATTTGCAATAGTAGACAACCCAAAGTATTGCAAATGGGGTATGTCCAGTCTTTTTTTAGTAGCCACTTAGTCACAAAAACTGGCAAAAATTTGCATTCAAATTAGTTTTTTTGCAGTTTTCACACAAACAAATATTAACGCTAACTTTGGCCAGTGTTTGTGACTACTAAAAAAGATCAGTAGTATTATACTGTGATTTGATTTTTTTTGTTTAACCCCTGAGGGTTAACTTTTATTTATTTTTTAACTCTCAGTGGTTCAATTTATTTCATTAATCTAATCTAAATATTTTAAATTATATATTTTGCAAGGTGGGGTGGGTGGGAGTTATGGGAAATTGGGGAATTTATTGTAAGTGCTGCTTACCGCTACTTAGGAGTTAACAGTAAAAAAATTGTTTAAACAAAATTTGAAATACCAGAGGGTATAGTCTTTAAAAAATGGTATGCGTTTGTGGAGAAATTTGAATAACCAACCAGTTAAACTACTCCAAAATGGAACATGGACACAGCATAAAACTTCAAAGCTAGAAAAAAACTGATTGGCTGTGTCTCAAATGTGCCCCTTCAACATTTCAAATGTGCCCCTGCCTTCAACATCCACATATACCTGGCAAAGGTACATACAGGGGTATTGTTGTACTCAGATAACATAGCTGAGCAACATATGAAATATTATACATCCGTTGCACACACGAGAATTGCTAAATATACTGTGCAAACTCACCTTGTGAGTCAAAAAGGCAGAAACATTTTTATTACCACTACACTTGGTACAAGCGGAAAATTTATCCCATGCTAAGGTTCAAAATATGCCTTTTGAAATACTCTGGGGTGTCTTCTTTAAGAACTGGTATGCCTTAATGGGATAGTTGGAATATATAGTCTGCTAAAATACTACAAAATGGGACCTAGACACAGCGTAAAAATTCAAAGGTTAAAAAAACCCTGGAATATCTGCGTCTCAAATGTGCCCCTTCAATGCCCACATATACATGGCAAAGGTACATACAGGGCTATTGCTGTACTCAGTCAACATAGCTGAACAACATATGAAGTATTTTACAGTCATAGCACAAATATGTTTTGCAAAATATACTGTAAAAACTCAC